TTCCTGTCCTTGCTATGTCATAACTCCCTTCAAAAATTGTTAGTCCAAAAGATGTGCCTATCTTGTAGCCGCAAGCCTGTGGGACAAAAGATAAAAAGGATTTGAAAAGAGAAGATTTGCGTAAAGTAAAAATCAAAATTCATATTTGTTATTTTTTCATTATTTTTCGGTAGGTCCCATAATCTCAAATAATAGAATTTTTTGATTTTCTGGGTACAGGACAGCTGGATTTTTTGCAATTAGTGTCAACAGATTGCCCTGCCCTTAGACATACAGTAGTGAGCAAAACTTTGGCGATTGCCTCTTACAAAAAGAAACTCATTGGTCATAAAACCCATGTTTAGGCAACGATATGTCAGTCTAGATAAGAAGAAACTAAATAGTGCAGTGAACCTCTGGCTTTGGATGCGGTTATTTGAAACTCTGTAACATTTTAACAGGTGAGGCAGGCAAAACCAACAGAAAGAAGGCATGAAGAGGCCTTCTCAATGCTATGCTGAGTTTGTATACTTTTGCATCAAGCTAATGATTCTAGGCAAGATTTCAGAGCACTTACTTTTGCGTCGATTTTTAGTGGGCAGCCAGTACCTGCTAGAGGAAACGAGCTTTCTAACTCTATCCAAGCACCTGCAAATATAAAACACAGGCCAATAGTGTTGCTCTAGAGCCATCAGTATTTATGCTGCTCATTCGGTGGCTTATTCTGCTCTCGAAAACCAGTCGCATCATTCCGTTATTTAGAAAAATTGAAAAATCGACCTCAACACGAAAATTCTAAGAATTCTGAAAATCTCGTTTTGACATTTTTTCTCCTCCAAGCATGACCGTTCATTACAAAATTCGTACAACAAACTTGCCAAAAATGACTGTCAATCAAATATGCAAGTAATGTCACTGTTCGTACTTGCTCTTTCCTTTCACCTTACACCTACTGCATAATGCCATTTTTTCTTCAAAACTATGTGGCAAAAGGCGAATCGTAATCTTGCACTAAAATTTCGATAAGTTACCCACATGCTCAGCGTTTTCTGATTATAGAACCTAGTCACAGCTAAGATCAAAGGAAACAACCGAAAATGCGAGAAAATTGTCTCACTGCTCAACATATTTTATAAGTAGCGGCGACTTGACGTTTGGACTAATCGTTTTTTCAAAAAGGTCCATAGTACTGAGCATATTTGAGTTGTGGTAAATCTTTCTGATATTTAGTTCCAACAGGCACAGCTAGCGGGCTTACTGATTTCGATCTATAAATTAAAGTGTTTTTATGCACTAGAAAGCTTTTGGATTCTCAAATTTCCTTCATTCGAAATCAGGAAATATTGGGATTGCATGCAATTTACACATCTCAAGACACTTCTGCTAACGGTGCTTACTGTAGGGAACTTTGCGGCATTGGCAATGAAATGGTTGAAACTTTCGTTATATTCATTTGAATGCCGCTCAGATTAAGAAAAAAGCAGTGAGGTGCTGCCAGTTTATAAGCGACGGTCATAACATATAAGGACAACGTTTGCGTAGCTGTATAATTTTTGTTGTACGAATCCATGAGATACTAGGTGCAAATAAACTCAAGCGGTCTATTTATTCAGATCAGCAATAATGTAGTAATTGGTTTTATTTACATACTAGCTGGCTTACCCGGCTCAGCCGTATCCGGACCAAACTTGGCACACATACACTTCGGGCCCCGGCGGGTGTCACAGTCCACTTTTTGTTATCGATCGATGTCGATTTTACCGATTTTTATCGATTTTTTTGCAGAGTTCACCTACAGGGCTAGGAGTTGGCACAGGGGGGGAAGTGAGCATGGGGATCCCGAATACAACATTAGTTTTCAGGATCGTCCATTACTTTTATCGATTTTATCGATTTTTTTTGTAAAGTTTGACCTGCGGGGTTGGGAGTTTGCACAGGGAGGTAATCGAGCATGCTGATTACGAACACAATATTAGTTTTCAGGATCGTCCATTACTTTTATCGATTTTATCGATTTTTTTTGTAAAGTTTGACCCGCGGGGCTGGGAGTTTGCACAGGGGGTAATCGAGCATGCAGATTACGAACACAATATTAGTTTTCAGGATCGTCCATTACTTTTTCGATTTTATCGATTTTTTGAAAATTTGAGCTAGGGGGCTGGAATTTGGCACAGGAGTGTAATCGAGCATGCTGATCACCCCCCTTGGGGGTGATCAGCATGCTCGATTACCCCCCTGTGCCAACTCCCAGCCCCCTACCTCAAACTTTGCAAAGAAATCTATAAAACCGATAATAGTAATCGATAATCCCGAAAACCAATATTGTATTCGGAATCCCCATGCTCGATTACCCCCCTGTGCCAACTCCCAGCCCCGTAGGTGAACTCAGCAAAAAGATCGATAAAAATCGATAAAATCGATATCGATCGATGACGAAAAGTAGCCTATGACACCCGCCGGGGCCCGTAGTGTATGTGTGCCAAGTTTGGTCCGGATCGGTTCAGAAATGGAATTTTCTATTCGGAACATACGTACATACAGACAGACAGACAGACAGACACATACAGACAAACAGACATTCAGCTTTATATATAAGATAATTATGAACAGAACTGAGCACGACCTTCACATTATCAAATAAATGCTGTGCCAACCATTACATGTTTGGTCAGCTTGAACAACCAACATAAAAGTCTAGCAATCGCACAAGTTAGCAGTGCTCCAGATAAGAGCGATCCTAATATGGATTCTAACAACGCAAATCTTGTCACTTTTACTTTTCTGTCCTTGTACGTTCTCACATAAGTAAGATTCTTTGTCACGGCAGCCATTCGCCTAGCAGTGCTTTCTGCAACAGCTAGCTCTACTATGGCACATCATCCTCATTTATACAAATTCGTTCCCCTTAGTGTCAAACGATATTTTGGGTTGGCGGCACTTTCCAACATAAAGTTTTTGTTACAGTGATCCACACAAATCACGACGTTTTTTTACGAAATTAAGTCAAATGTGCCTCTCATACAAATTGACGTTACGACATATGTCCTCTGTTCAAAATTTTGGTATTTAAAAACTTCAGGTACGCTGGTTTGCAGGTATACCCTTCACCGAAAAAAACGATGAGAATCTGGCTGCTTCTGGTATTTATCCTCGTAGTGTGCGACGCGACAAAAGAACACAAAGGTGCCTTTGAAAAGGATAAGCCAGTAAAGGACTGCAACTGTGTGCGATGTGAAAATCTTAGATACGAGAAAGAGTACGTTTGGATTATATTGCTTTATGTAGGCGCACGAAAAGTTCATCTTTGCAGGAAATGCCGTGGGAGGATCTTTTACGAGATAAAACAAACAATCATTTGCTGCTGCACACCTGATATCGACGGCAATGGTGAAAATCCCACTTTTATACCCTGCGAATAATGCATTTTGAATACGATTGTAAACGCCGCACATTCGTATGGTAACGCATAAAGCTGTTGTTCCATTCGTCTGTGTTGCTGAAAACAAGACACGAAAAAAAATTATCGCGCCACGACGGTGCGAAAAGAAAAATAATACCCGCATTCTTTTCACTTGGGAATACCTTAAATCACTTCGCTCTGATTTGTGCAGCAAGTAATCAGCATGCTCACTTACCTCTCGTACAGATGCCCTGCCCCTTAACTCATACTTTTTCAAAAATTCATAAAATCGATAAAGATCGGTAAGAAAAAGTAGCCCTCAACACCCGCCCTGCCCAAGTGTATGTATTAGGTTGGTGCAAAAGTTTTGTCAGTTTTTTCAATCCATCGGCAAGCACGCTAGAATGAAGATAAACAAACACTTCAAAGTGTATCCAGATGCAGAATTCTTTCCTCTTTCCAGCCGCTAAACTCTCATTGTGTTTCTTTGCGAAAGTGACGAGGTATTTACTAGAAATTGCAACCACTCGTTTTTACCATGTTCAACTTACTTTCACTGATTTTCAAAATTTTTGTATGAGACTTCTGGAGTAGAACTAATAACCAGCAGATAGGACAAACCTTTTGCCAACAGAAGCAATTTTTTATAGCCCTACAGCTTGTCTTTCAGAATTTCTACGATTTATTTTCTGAAGTGACCACATCTTACATTCAGCCTATATTAACCTCGTAGAACATGAAATGTCAAACACTTCAGTGACCGTTCGATGCAAATTTTTCTCGTCTTTCTAACACTTGTCTTTCTTTGTAGAAACAGGCAAAATATGTGGGAAAAGTCGCACTATCTCTCAATTTCAGGAGTGCGCACTAACGTATCCTATGTTCCAAAATCTTCATAATTTGAAGCGAAAGTCGCTCATTTACTTTGTAGTGGTAGCGGTAGTAATAATCGAGTGTTGAAACCTTAGTATTCTTTAGGTTTTGCAGTGTTTGGTGCAATAAGAGGTTATGCGATTTTTCCAAAACACAAGACTTTTAAAAAATTATTTAGCAAAAATCTGAAAAAGCAGCTGAAAAAAAATCGCATAAGTTGGCAAAAGGTTTGACCTATCTGGAATTATTAGGGCCCCTCCAAAACTCTGATACGAAAATTTTGAAATTCAGTGAAAGTTGGACATGGAAAAAACGAATGGTTGCAATTTCCAGCGACTACCTCATAACTGTCTCAACAAAACACAATGGGAGTTTAACTGCTGGAAAGGGAAAGAAATTCTGCATCGGATACATTTTGAAGTGTTAGTTTGTTTCCGTTCTAACGTGTTTGACGATGGATTGAAAAAACTGACAAAACTTTTGCACCGACCTAATATGTCAAGTTTAGCCCGGATCGGTTCTAGAAATAAATCTAGCTTTACATAAGATTACCAGTACAACTCGTAAGTTTTATTTTCGGTCCAAAGTTCGCTGCTTTGAGCTATGCTGGCATATAAAAAGCGAACTTCGTTGGAACCATACAGAAATTATGCAAGAAAAGCGTTATAGAGCAATTCGTCCATATTATGGTGAATCAGCAGAGGAATAAATTCTTTACCTTCAACAAGAGCTGTGGAGGAAACAGAACTCAAACCCAAATATCTGAAGTACAGTCTCCTCCTGGGTAACGCATTTCGTGTCCAAGGTATGGACCACCTTCGATGGCACCGAAGTCAAATAAAAAGTTTCCGTTGAGTTTCATAACACCATTTTCGTCGATGTCTATGCGTAACATCTCTCCTCCAGAACTAAACAGAATAATTTTCTTGTTGTTAATAACGATCACGCCCTTCGATTACTTGATCAGTTTTGGATAGAACTGTTCAACCCATCTTCTATAGAGCGAAGTGGTCGCATAAAGTCTTCTGCCATCGAAACCTGAGCTGCAGCATTTGTGGACCACCTTCTATGCGGTGACCCTTGATACGCAAGGCTGGTGGTGGCTTCTGAAAACATTCCGTAATATGAGCGATTGCATAAAGACAAAGCCTTATTTTACAAGTTCATGTAGGCGAAATCGACAGCGTGGAAGTAATTTTTCTTTGGAAATTTGGCTACACAGCAAGAATTTGAGAATTCAAGAGCTGTGCTTTTTTTTCTTGGATCGTGGCTCCTTTTAGATTTTTCTGGAATCTTGACAGTCATGTTAAAAGTCAACAGCCAACACTTGAGCTTTATGAATTGCAAACCATTTTCAGGCCGTAGATTACATAAAACAGAGGGTTCCATATGTAAGTGCACACTATACAATCGTTAATAACTTTCTTCCCGATAAAGTCTCTTCCTTAGCTTTGAGTATCATTCAGTAGAGGAGGCCTCGACTGAGATTTACAGTATCGGACAAACCACCCATCACCCTTCGTTACTGTAGGATTACGATAAGAAATTCTAGCATACATCAGCATTGTGAAATAGGCCGTTTGAACAAAAAGTTCCAAGAAATCTGGAGTTGTGAAGCAGTGTTTTCAAACATGCTGACATCAGACATCTATGGATTTTCAAGAATTTCAAATGGTCCAATCAACATTTATGAACAACACTGAAAAAAAACGTCGTGGCTGCTTACTTGACATAACTCATGGAAAAAGCCTTGCGGTAAGGTGCAAATTTTATATCAGTGATTAGCGCGACTCAATTTAGCCTAATGATAGAGTTTTCGGTATCTATTCTGGGCCAATATGTAGCTATTAATGGCTCAAAACTCTCTTCAAAGTTCCTATTGTAATCCTACAGTAATGAAGGGAGATGGATGATTCGCACGATACTGTAAATTTAAGCTGAAGCCTCCTCTACTGAATGCTTCGAAGCTAAGGAAAAGAGGAAAAAAGCTATCAACGGTCATAAAGTGTGTGCTTATTTTTGGGGCACCTTGTATTTCAGCGTCGGGTGTGTGACTGCGTACTTCTCTTAACAAAAACTTCCAGTGTGAAAGTTACCTCGAGTTCTCATCCTTGACAAGCTTTACGCCACTTTCTTCATGAATGCTACCATCTATGAATATCTAAACAACATTCAGTTAATCACAAAATTTCATCAATTTATTTTATAGTTTTGTAGGCGTTTTCTGCATTATGGTACATAGATATCACCACCTTTTTCAAAGGAACTCTAGCAACACATTTCGCAACATATGATGAATTGTCATTCTAAAATACAAAACCTTACAAATCGTCTGGGAAGTAGGAAAGAATATGTGCTGCGGTGACTACAACAATTGCGCGGAAATGTTTGCTATGCTTGTGAAAGCCGACAGCTTGCGAAAAGTCAGCGTAATAATTTGCCATACGAGGGCGCTGCCATTGTTTACGCGCAAATGTTGTTTGCAACGCAAACACAATTATAGGTCATCTTGCCGACCTCATTTTCAGGCTTTGGTTAGAATATGCTCGAGCCCAAAGCGCATCCTACGAATCCATAGGGGCTGATGGGATCGTGCTTGAATCTAAAGTACAAACTTTGAATTTAATACTTCTAGAGAGCTAGCGTCCAGAGTTGCACGTGCAAACAGGAGCACTGCTCTAGCACGGCCTTGAGCGGCGGTGGCACAGCGCCAACACGCGCACAACTCTGGACGCTGCCTGGTAGCTGTGACTTTAGAAGAACAATCGCAAACAGCTGATTAAGAGTTTGAAGCCCAATATAAATTCTGACCTATTACTAAGGTTACCCTCTTCTGATTATAGAATCAAATTTTACAGCCGCTCAATTCTCGGCCTTGTAGAATTGTTCTAATGAAAATGTGAAATCTATGAAATCGCAGCTAAACTTTTTCTAGAACATTTTCAAAAAATTGTGTTTGACTGTTTGAACTGACTAACGAAATGATTTTTCATAATGTACATACATAAAACGGAAAACGAATCCAAAGAATTTTTTCTCTCCTCGGGACTTAATGATCTTCATAAATTATGTAGGATGTCAAGAAAGCCGAAATCAAGTTCTTGGCCAGGGCTCAGCACAGCTGGCACCGGGTCAAGCTGGATATCGTTTTTAGGGCGGAAAGCAAAGGGGATCGTTTCTACAGGGGCCGAGGCGGAGAACTGCCGCAAAAATGCCGCCGGCATGCCATTGGCAAGCTGTCCATCAACAAACAAAGGCGTTGTTTTCAGCCGAAACGCAATAATATGACATTAAATTTGGTGTGTGCATGCGCGTTGGTGGACCGGAACTATGGGCCAAAAATTTATGAAAATTTATGTGAATGAAAGCTGTGCCCAACTTTTTTCTGAATTAGCTGGCACCGTGCCAGCTGGGTGCCAGCTGAGCTGGCACCGACACTTTGCTCACATAAGTTTTCATACTTTTTTACATAAAATGTATCTACACTGTAAAAGAACATACGGAGAAGAAACAGTTTCATAATGTTCTCTTTTCAGCGTTTTATAGCAATTTGAAAACCACTCGGTCCGCTCCGCAGTCAAAAAATCGGCTTTTTCTGCTTCTCAAGATGTGATTCGACCACTCAGAAAGCTCAGAAAGCTGTAAAAAGCTCTTTCATGAAATCAGAAATGCATGAAAACACTACTACATTTTTTACATAATATAAAAATGATGACGGGTTTTCAAAACAGGTCAAAAGGGACTTCGTACGAAATTTTCGATATCAAAGGGGACTTCGTTTTGAAATATCCCTGGTGCCAGCTCGTGCCGAGCCCTGTTCTTGGCCCCTACCTTTTCCAGTCGAATATTCCTTTCGTCTTCAACATTTATGAAATAAATTCGATTCGAGTTCAGGCATGGCAATATTATATGCGTCCTTAACCTTATTCCTTTTATAAGTAATCGATGTGAGAAGTTCTACCTTTTAGCTGAAGGTTTGTCATGACAGGACGAGCATGCATTCCATCCGGTGTGATGTACTTCATCGCCAATGTTTGGAAGTACGGCTTTGGATAGAATCTGTGAAAAAAATTGCGAAAATTTTATTAAATTAACTTTCATTGAAATCATACCTGACAAAATGTCTCACTTTCTTCGTCGACATCTATAGCAACAAGCAGATCATTACCGTTACCAGATGCATGAGGACATGTGACGAACAGTACCTAAGTAGTGGATGGAAAAAATTTGAATGGTGGGGAAGGGGGAGGGGGTAGAGACAAAAGCACCTTTTCCTTAGGTCCATGCGCTGCTTCCTGCGGACTTGCGTAACCTGGCCCACAGCATTTATTGCAACTCATGCTGAAAAACTGTTCGTCTAGTTTTTGTAAGCCTAGAATGCAAAAAAAAATTAAAATTGAAATTTTACAAAGCCTATGGCACTGCTTGAAGCTGGATCTCAGTAATAATAGAGAAACTGCAAATGTGGAAGGACCCATTTGAGCTTACAAAAAGCCCCTTGCTCGGAATTTGTGAGGTTAAGATGTAGATAAACTCCATGAATTTAGTTGGTCGGGGAATTTCACCACATCACTTCTATAATTTTGTTTTTTTCACTTCTAGCATTTTTGATACTACTTCCTTAGTTTTTTTGAGTAAATTTATATGTTTTTTGGGTTGTTTCTAGTTGAAATTTGAGGCTTTCAATCGCAACTTGAGAAATTTGTGTGTATTTTACTTGTTGTTTAATGACGCTATTTGTTCATTTCTTTCTTATTTATTTCTATGAAGGGAATTCATATGTTACTAAGATTGTTTATTATCAAATTTTCATATAATATTGTATCGCTTAGCGTTAATCAAATATGTTTATTACAGGGCTTTTTTAGGCTATATTGCAAAGAATGAAAGAAAGAAAATACCCACAATGTAAGAAAGGATCAATTGTTTCCACAAGCCTTTCGCTAAAATTCAAAATATAAAAAAACTATAAAATTGAAATTTATCAGGACCGTAGACGCACGTATACAAATAGAAGGATGAGAAAACCAAGAACCAAGAATTAGAAAGAAGCCCACCGCACAAAGCTACCCTAAATTTCGTCAGCGAGAATATCATAGACTATAAGTAAAATGATGAAGTTGCTCAGCAGCTGTTGATCTTTGATAAGACAAGAAGTCATCACGTATCACTTACTAAATTTAGCGTTCTGCGCCCACAGAACAAAGAAAAGACAATTGCGGAAGTGAAATCGAAGATGAAGTTGTAAACTGATGTCTAAAAAGCACTTGATGGCAGGTTTTGTATTATTTTGTTATAAAATGTGCTTGGAGAACATTATTGCACTTTTCTAACTAATTTCTATGCACTAAGGAACACTTTTGCTCCATAATGCCCTAAAATTGAAAGTAATGGCTAAAATCGCTGACGCACACTGTTTACTGCAGAGATCTTGCAAACATTGAAGCCGACACATGAAAACAAAAATGATAAACAAAAAAGTGGAAGACAGGGGTGACTCCAATCTGGAGGATGCAGTTGTCTTTATTTCAGTACCAAATTCTAAAAAAATATCGATCATTACAGAATGAAGCAGTTCTACGTTCGTATTCAAAATATTCCAGCGCCTTAAAAGTTTTCGAATTCAGTTGTGGATAAAATGCTTTTCAGAGTCATCCGGTAGAGAGAAAGAAAATCGTAAATTTCAGATTGAGTAGGAGCTAAAGAATTGCTAATGTTGATTCCTCTGATAGTAAGCAAGAGAAACAAACTCGAAAAAATATTTTATTCCGAAAAATAGTTCTTAGGCAAAGTTCATTCTGTGTCACTAGAGAACTAGACTCTGCATCAACAGAGGACTTTCTTTTTCGCAAACAGACGCATACGCTTCGCGAAGGGATTGCGCTGCGTTTGTGGTGCGTGCAAATACAATTATACAGTTTACTTGTAACCATTCTAGCGGTGTTGCAGTCATGCTTGTAATATCTGAGCTTTAGAGACAAAATGTCAACTCGCTTGCGAGCAATGCGCAATGGCTTTGCGATGCGGGCGGGCAGATCCACGATTGCGAAAAGGAAATGCACCATTGACAAAGACTGTATAAGTGCTATTTCTATGCAAGTGCACAAATTTCACTTAACGCTTATAATTTACTTTCCGCTCTATTGTAACAAAGCAGTATTGCCGCTCCTTTACCGTTGTAAGAACAGGTCCTTCTTCAACATTCGTAGCGCTAACAGCATTAAAGTTCGAAACATTCCATTAAGTCTGTGTTTTTATTCTATTGCAAAACTTCTACTCAGAACCACAACTGCAGTACACTTCTCTGAGTATCAGTGTGCTCTTTGTTGTATATGGAAATAAAACCTTAACAAGAATTTGCAGTTTTCGATCCGGAAATCATCTTGAAAGCTTGTACACGATTCGAAGTACAATCATTGTAGCCAGAATTGATAGCATTCTTATGAAACTTTTTTGGATCTTGACGATAGCTACCAACAAGAGCGCAATTCTTGAACATCAAGATTCGCCCCCTAGCGTATAATTTTCTGCTTACGTTTGACCGATCACCGTATCATGATCATCGAGCAATGAGCGAAAATCAAGCACTAGCTTTCTCCTTATTTCTACCAATTCTGAGTGTATAAGAGAAAGAGTAAATGAAAAAACTTATTATCATTAGAGGTACTTAGTGCAGCATTATTTCTTCTATCTAACATCCAAGCCTGAAAACGGATTTCTGGATAGCATACAACACAGACTATTAATTTCGTAAAGTTTACTTTATTTTCCAAGTGCCTATCAGATTTTGCGAAACCTATATATAAAGCTGAATGTATGTACGTTTGCCTGACTGTCTGTGTGTGCTTATTTCCGAATAGAAATTCATTTCTGAACCGATCCGGAGCAAACGTTGCACAAATCACTTCGGGGCGGGGCGGGTGTCGTGAGCTACCTTTCGTTAGCCATCGAGACCGATTTTATCGATTTTTTATCATTTTTTTGTCCTTAGGACCTTTATCCGAGTCAAACGAGTGCTTCAAATTCGGTGAAGAAGCAGTTTTCTAAGCAATGTGACTTTTTATGCATTTTAGAGCAAAAGTGTACTTCGAAAGTGCTTTTCAAAAGTCGGCAGTTCCCATGTGTAGCAAATGTTCCATATTTTAATGTTGTGTATGTAAGAAACAATTTAGATCTAAAGAATGTAGTAGTGATCAAAAATGGGAGGTAGCTTTGTAGCTGTGGTCAGCCTTCGAGATTTTTCAAATTTTTCAATTTTTCTTAGAAAAACATAAAATTTGGAGCCGTTTCTTAGTCAATGATATGACTTTTGTTAACACAGAGAGTAGTGGTTTTTCAGATGAATTCGAACAAAAGAGGGCAAATTATAGTGGTTTTTAGGGCGTCTCTAAGGCAATGACCAGCACTGTAGTATACATTCGAAGGGTTATCTATCGTGGAAATATCCATGATAGTAGTGATATAAGTTGTGTAAAACCTGTGAAAAAATCTTTTACCTTTTTCTTTCTAATTTCACGTTCAAAACGTTTACTGTTAGTGCAACTCAAAAAATCATGTGGTAAATGCTTGTTCCAACATTCTTAACGTGCGGACAAAAAATTCACGTTCATGCAATACGAAATTGTTTTTTTTTATTTCGCCCACCATTTGTGTGAAGTGAATAGATAGAAAATGTATTAGTTCTACCATAATTGGGTTTGAACACCCAGTATTTGGAGGGCTTCAGTGTTTCACCTCTCAAAATCCTAAAACCCAAGACAAGATCGTGCACAACTCTACGATACGAGAGACGTTCAAAATTGAGCTCAAACGTTGTTCATAAGTTAGAAGTGATCGATGATGTGCATAGCTTCGAAAACAACGATAAAACAGTAGTCTTGTATAGATTTTCTGAACGTTTTCCAAGGCTACGATGTGTTTCTCAAGGACGGGCTCCATACATGGCTTGCGTCGATCACAGGAATAAGAAGAGCTTTCAAAGTTTCAATGGACTTTTCTTATTGGCAGTTTTGATAATTCCGAAGATTGTATACAACATGGAAAATGCTTGAGACGTGAAGGATATTATCTCTGGATCTGGCTACATTTTGGAATTGGTCACAACTCCTAAATCTGTGATTGATGTTCTGCTGATAAAACAAACTCCATCATACTCATAATGGCGTTTTCATCGTCGCCAATATGGAAAACACGGCTTTTAGCAACATTGACACTATCCCATTTCCGCACCAGTCGATCATGAGATCAACAAACGTGCAGAGCTTTTCTGACCTGCTAGGATTACTGTCACTGAAATTTGAGAAGACTATGTGAAGGAAAGAAAATTTATGTTTTTTTCTTTTCACAACCACCTCAAATGGCTGTGGCTGTGCAAATGGCCGGAAAGGAACCTAACTCCGAAAAAAGTTTCCACACCTTCAGTTCACATAACCTTTTCATGATTTTTCATACATAGTCCTAACTCCCCATTATCCATCCACACCCAGTTCTGATGCCATTTCATTTTTTTCGCTGTAAACAAGTCTTTATCTATTAGGTTGTTACATAAGTTTTGTTACACTCGACTGAAAAAATGCTCATAACTTTCTCAAATGATTTTTCCTTGCCTCCAAACTATGTGTAATGTTGCAGATTTTTGATATATATATGCCACACATGAAAAATCAAATTTTGGATTTTTTTGAAATTTTTTCGAATTATTTTTGGCAAATTTCCATTTTTGGTTGATGAAAAGTTTGAACTTCCAAACTGCTTCAGTATTACTACCAATGCTCCCCAAAGTCCATAAAAAATCTAAAAATGTGGAAAAGAAGAATAAGAGAATTTTTAGGAAACAAAGAAAAAAATGAAGGTTGGGGTGCCTCTATAGTGTTGCCTTTATATTCATTGTAAGTCATGTGGTGAGGGCATAAGTGGTGCCAGCAAGATAGTCCTTTATACCTTCCCCATATATGCCGGATATGAGGTCTTGCCGAATTTTCTAGAGTTTTCCAGAGGAAGGCGAAGAAAGTGTAACAAAACTTATGTAACAACCTAATATTTTGGGGCAGGTTTGAATTCGCGCGCTTTACCGGCGAACTTGTTGAAACAGGAAACTTTAGTTTTTGCAGGGATGGTTGAGGCAGGAATGACTAATTGCGTCCTGTATAGAAGATGAAAGGTGACGTAAAAGGAAAGAGCGATTGTGTGTGAGCGGGGAAGGGGGGGGGAGGGGAGGAGCTGAGGTTTTTGCTTAAAGGCAGTGTCCGGGCAAAAACTCGATTTTGAGATTTTGTGCTTACTTGGGCCTATCCGCTACGCTGAATCCGAAAATGCACATTGTAGAGCGCGAAAATGGCGA